GTCATCAAGGATATGAAATGTAGCCTTTTTGCAATACAAATTTTACGTAAGATATAATTTTATTTATATATACAGTATTTATTTAAAAAATAAGCACATACACTGTACAAATTTTATGAAAGTAAAAATTAGACTCATTTCTCAGTTAAAGGTTTAAGAACTTGTGATGATGTCGTATAAAACGAACAGGAACGAACAAGAACTAGTTATATAAAAAAGTTTTACATGTGCCATAGCTTGAAACGACAGAAGAAACTTTTTCGCTGTTATCACTACAACATAAAGCTAGTGTTGTGTACAAATTAAAATATGTACTGAACTTTCTCGCGTATGCACGCTTTTTTTTTAAATACCAAATAGTGTTTACTGTAATTTGTATTTTAGAAATACGATATTATCGCGTTTTTGTGCAAAACCAACAAATATTCTCCGCTGGCTGCACGAACAACGGCTATATTTGTACGTGGTTAGACCTTAAACGTGATAACCGCTACCCAACTGAAATTATTTTATACGATGCACGCGAGCGGCCGAATTTTCATGCGCAACTTAAATATTAGCGTCATTTTAGGTTCGCACACACAAGTGATTAATAGCCCAGTACATGAAATAATTGAGACTGTAGGAAGAACGTCGTACCTTTCCCGGTAGCAAGATTCCTCTTTTACTCCTTCGTCGTCGTCTATATTCACTCTTCAGTTTAGGAGACGTGCTTTCCCCTCCTTCCATCCCTTCTTCCCTTCGTAGTCTAATGTCTTAATCTTCCGTGTGTGAAGAATTGTGCCGGGCCAAATGAAATTTGCATAGTCGTTACCAGCCCTCCTTTACCGAGCGATAGTTCCGTAGATCCGCCCCAAGCTCTTTTGGCTCTGAGAAAAGAAGACTGGTACAATGATCCGTTTGATTGCTTAGGATAACATTCTTTTCTTCGGTGATCCGAATTTTCAATGAAGAAAATTTTAAGAAATACACATTTTTATAATATGGCTATTACATATAAGAGACACACAAAAATATAAACAAAATCACAATTTTTCTCTGATTATATTCCGTCTTTTTAATCCAATTTCAAAAAAAAGATCTTAATTTTGCACATTATGCTTCTATATTGCAAGAGGCTATAATAAATATTTGCCATTCAATCGAATCAATCAAATTGTTATAAAAGTACATGTCGCTTTACTACGTCGTACGCTACGGTTCTCAGTAAATAAATTATGTATGTGGTGAGCGCGCCAAACGTTTCTGGATTTCCAAGTTATATCCAATGTGATAACGTGGATAAGGACATCTCTGGGTTCTCGATCGATCTTTAATAAGCGTTCTGTTCCAAGGATAAGGATTCAGAGTGTATTGCAGGGGAGCCATCGTGTTGTCGGAGCGCACGGTATAGAACATAGGGGTAACGTAGAACGCGTTGGCTAGGTCAGGAGGTTTAGGAGCTACGGAACCGATAAGGGTTTGCCAGGCATGCTCGTTAACGACTATGTAAATTGACGGGTCTATTTATTCTAACCATCGTTATCGAAAGCGCTAGATGAAGAAATCAGAAGCCGGTAGTACGGGCCATCGCTCTTCGTGACGCTACAATCAATTACACTGATATTGCATTAAAGCGCGATTATTCCAATGAGGGTTTATTATTTGCGATCTAAAATTTCGAATTAATTTTGGTACATGCTTTTCCACTGCACTCATCGATACTACATTTCCATCGTCATTGATAATATACGCGTCTTATGCCGAGCGAAATCGCAAATAAATTTAGTGCCGGCAAAATAGCTTTCTCGATAGGTACTCGATAAGAGAGTAAGAGGAAGAGAGAGACAGCACGGGCTATCATAACGCGCTGTCCAACCATTTTATTGCAATGCTAAAGTAGGTATTGATCCGAATCTAGGAGAATCACGAACTAAGGTGCTCGACGACCATCGATCCGTCGTAGGGGGATGAGATGAAGGGAGAAGAGGAGGAGGAGGGTAATCATTTTCCGTGTCCTCCTGCTCCTCTTTCTCCTCTTCCTCCTCCTTCTCTTCCTTCTCGTCCGTCGGTTATCCGAATTGGGTTCGAGAGGGTCTCGTAGCAAAGTTGGGGACTAGGAGAGGACACAAACACCTCCGTTCGGGCTATGAGGAGGAGAAGGGTTCAGTAGGGCCTCTACTGGCGAGGAGAGGCGAAGAAGATTGAAGGAGGAAGAAGAGGAGGAAAAGAGAAGAAGCGAGAACACTCTCCATGTCTTTCTCGCTCTCTCTCCCTTTCTCTCTCACTCTCCTTCCTGCTTTCGAACGAGAGGATGCATGAGAGACTGCTCCAGACCGTGGAGAGCGGAGAGAGGGTGCTGCCTTGGGGTTCATTATTCAGGGCTATTGATTTCCATCCACCTCCTACCATCAGCCCACCCAACGCCACCGGCGACCGTGAGTGAGGGAGAAAGAGGGATTGAACGATGGAGATGGAACGAGAGCGAGATTGACGGGTGGCTGTTCTCTCTTGCGAGTTTCCTATCTCTCTTTCTTTCTCTTCCTTAGACCCTCAACATTTCTGCTCCCAGCATGCTGCGTCAACCTACATACTGACTGACATCTGTTAAACCGAGCCGCTCGTTCATGACGAGCTTGCGTCTTATAATATTGGTCCGTTGCTTATGGCGCCCCTATTTAATCCGTTTATCGATTGGACATTAAGTCGATAAGATCAATTTTGAGGTGGAAAATGGAAATCCGTGAACGAATAATTGATTGTAACACGTGTCTATTTTATTTTAAAATAATATTTGTCAGATTTATTTATGAAAATATGCGGTTTACATGCATATTGTTATAGACAATATATATAAAAGGAAGGAATATATATTGTTCTTTCATTAAAAACGCTACGAATTAATTCCAACACCTAATATATATATATGTAATAACAGTATTATAATAATTACTGAAATAAATCAGAATTACTTTTTGTACAAATTGTTTGTGAAAAATTTCTGATAGATACGAATCAACCTATAAATGTAGGTGACAAAAATATATGTAGAATAATGTTCGGTACTAAATTCGCTTCTCTTTCTTTCTCGAAATTGTCTACTTTTGCACATTCTCGCGGAGTAGCGTTATCCTTGCCGATCCTTCATCTCGGATTCGGATTTCTCCGTCGTTTCCTATGGAGTTGACGGAGTTGGGAAGAAACTTCTACCGAAACTTTCCACCCATAACGACGGTCCGATAGGGCTCCCAAGCTTTCTCTTCGGAATTTCATGCCCTGGGTTTCCTGTTTGTGGAGGATCAGCTTGAGGATCATGGATAATACCGCAAGACCAACGGCCAATCGGTTTTATCCCTTTGTTTTCAAATCAGTATAGATAAAATATCGCATCGTCTACCCGACGAGAAATTCGTGCTTTATCGTTTCGATGATATACGTTATTAAATCTTTTCATTAAATGTATTTCATTCGTAATGTATACGCGGTCATGTTAACATCATGGTACATTTACAATGAATGATTATTAATTGAAGCGAATATGGCAAAAATAATTTAATATTAATATACAAAATAATTCAATATTAATATATGAACTGTTTTATTAACAATCGTATAAAGTTATAATCATATAATTTTTATATTGTTAAATGAATTTTATGTGTTTTTCTTATCTCTTTTTTATCTGAAAATAAAATTTAGTCACCATTCAATGTGTTTATCAAACATTCTTTAATAGTAAGTTATTAGAATAATTAGAGCGACGAGATTTATTGGTATGTCTGACCATATTTCGCTTTTACTACTTACTCCAAATAGAAATATGAATTTGTGAAGATTCTGGCAGTTGTGTATCATTATACATTGAATATTTCGTAGATATTTCTGTATTATATCGATTTCTAACGTTCCTGTATTATTTATTAGAACTTATTATTTTAAAAATAATGTGCAATATTTTTATTATCATACAATTCTTCATCACAGAAAATAATTCCAACTTGTCTCAATTAAAGGATGTATTAATTTATATATCTTGTTTTTTTACCATATTCTTTTCTTTATTAATCTTTATATGTTCTGAAAAAAAAAAGTTATAAATTCTATCAGAATCACATGCAAGATCGAACACACTTCAGATTACGATATGCACGTGTACAATCAATTACTAGTCACAGGTTTCTCGTTTTTCCTTCTCGAAATTGATCCAGTATGCGGAAGCAGCACGGGTTTGTTCTCTTTGACCGTGCCCAACGTGACGTAACGTAAAACCCCATTAGGTGTTAGCTCCTCCGTCGACGGTTAAACCGTTACTCGGCTGCCGTTCGTAGGTGGAACGAGACGCGCCGGCAGTATTGGTGGACGGGATATATACGTAGTCAGCGTTGGCAGAAAGAGAGAGAAAGAGAGAGAGAGAGAGAGAGGGAGAGAGAGAGGAGGGGGGAGGGAGGAGAAAGAGGGAGAGAAAGCGAACACATCGGCGCGCAGGGTTGTACTGGCACTGTGCCTATAGGGATTGCAGCCGCCGCGGGCGCCGGCGCGAAACCGTCGCTCGCGAGACCACCTCCGCGTGGTGGGCTCGTGACGTCAGCTATCCTCAGTGTGCGGAGAGCGACCGCAGTGTACACCATCTCCACGTTTTGGTAAAGGAGGCGGCGTCGTTGCCGGAGTGCACGAGTTGTACATCGCCGTTGATCGTACGACGATCAGCTGGAGAGACGCAGCTTGTCGTAGCCCCCTTCATTTTCCCCCCATCCCCTTCCGTCGTCGTCACCCTCCCTGTCGTCGGTTCGTGATCCGGAGGGATCTGTAACGAGACCTGATACACGCACACGAGGATTTCGGACGGATTTTCGTCGGTGGGAGAGGACGCGCCGTCGTCGCCGCCAGCCGCTCGACGAACTCGCGTTATTTTCTTCCCGCGGCTGGCCCGCCGTCCGCTCGTCACTCTGCTCCGTTTCGCTCCGCTCCGAAGTGACGCGGCTCTTTCTCCTTGATGTGTACGACGACGACGACGAAGCGTTTCAGAGTCGAGTGACACCTAGCACGAGGAGGGTTCGTTGCGGGGACAACAGGGTGGCGAGTTCGGTACGACGATATTTCCCCCGCGTATCGGTGGTGATGTTATCGATGTTTTTCCCTCGTGACGTTGGTGTTTAAACGTAACGAGTACTGACCACGCGCGACGTTGTCGGGCTCTCTCATTCAAACCGCGAGCTTACGATTTAGTGCTATTTCTTCGTTCCTCGTTCTAAGACACGAGATTCGTTCCATCGCTCGGTGCACCGCGAATCAACTCGACGTTTTCGTAGACCAGTCAGTTCAAGCGTGATCGAGGACACGTGGACTTGGAGCGGATCGCTCTTAGCTCACGTGGTTGTCGGCTGCGACGTACCGGCGGCGCTCGTGGTCGTACGACTGCGATTCTCGCGTATATTCCGCGCGTAGTTTAACTCGTTGTGAGTGATTACACGAATAGGAGAATTTTTTTCCTCCTTGAGCAGTACTTGATATTCATGGTGCCTCTGGCACGATCAACGTTAAATCTGAACGTGAACGTGAACTGTACTCGGTGAGTGTTTGCTTGTGAGGACAAGCGTTTCGTTTGTGCGCGACTACAACGCGTTCCCCATTCAATCGTTGACGAACGAAGCGTACATGTCGCGAATAGAAGGAGAGGGATGACGACGAACGACCATCGCGATTCCGTTGAAGGGGACAACGTGGACTCGTGAAGAACGGCGAACGCGATTGTGTGACTACAAGACGAGAGACACGGCGGATCCATTCGTGGCTTGCGACTCTTCGTGGGACTTCCGAGATCCGCAAGCACGCGGAATCAACCAGGCAGCGTGGAGCGCTCGGCGATTGTGTGGCCGCGCGCCGCGGACCTTTATCTCTATCAACCAGGTATTGAATATAACCCAGGAAAATTACTTCTCGCCCGCAATCCAATTAGCAAGCTATTGCGTATACCATATGCGTACGATACACTATTATTTTCTTTAGTTTCCCTAGTCAATGTATAAAGTTTGGAATGGGTACAGTTTCTATAGGTATAGTTTCTATAGAATATCATAGATATGTATATAGTTCTATGGAATTATTACATAGTTCTATAATTTTTATAGGTAAAGTTTCTGGAATATAGGAACACGAGCACATACAGTATGCACATACGGCTATTCTTAAAATTGTTGCAAATTTTTATCATCTATCTGGTAGAATTATTGTATGATACAAACACTCAGACATCTTATAATGTAACAAGCTTCTTAAATTATTCCTGAAATATTTCATTACTATGCTCCTTTTAGTAAAACTAGTCGAATAGTTGGGCTTTACGTGCTTGAAATGACAGTAGGATGTTATTTTTCCACGGGAAGAGCTACTTTGCATCGCTTGCTGTATATCTATTTATGAAGGGCGCGAAGGATGGAAATGAAAAGGGATAAGTTATTGCGTAGATACTTGACACGATTTATGCTCCGTGGGCTATCCTCGTTTTAATATCCGCTCCCACGAATTTTACATTTTCTACCTTCACAATTTTACATGACGGCGCAAGCCTCGAAAAAAGATGGCGAAGAACTTCTCGCGGTATGTCGGCCCATTCTTCAGTGACTACAGCTGCGAGCTTTCGCCGCTTCGCGGGTGCATTCTTGCACCGTCGTCTGTGGGAACATATTCCAAGTATGCTCAATAAGATTCATATCCGGTGACAAAGGATGTGCTATTTTTCCCGTGACGTTGCATGCTTTGAGTGTTTTTCAGCGAAACGCGTATTTTTCACGAGTCGAGGCATATCTCTTATGACGATAATGAAATCTATCGGTAATGTTTTACTAATATATATGTGCGTGTGTGTATGTGTGTGTGTGTGTAGAAGCTAGTGGAAAAATTAATGGAACCGACTGAGATTTGAACTTGGGATCCCTTATTTACACACACACACACACACACACACACACACACACACACACACACACACACACACACACGAGATAAAAAAGAGAGGAGTGAAAAAGAGAAAGAGAATGATCCATTTATAAGAGCATAAAATATTAACAAAACGAATTCTGGCGAAATGCTAATGATATATCAGTAGTGTAATATCTCCATACCGCATAAATATTCTAAGCATCAAATTCGTGCTCCGAAAGGGAAATGGCTAGTGGGCGAGCTGGGAAAAGTTTAAAGGTTACTGATTTTCGGTCAGATTGAACGAAGTGGTAAGCTATCTCCTTCGGATCTTTTCGAGCTGTGGTATAGGTTTACGGATTTCCAAATAAGTTACGCGCGGTGGAAATTGCTGGATAAAATCGGGAGAATCGGTACGATTAAATTTTCGCGTTTTTCGTTTACCTCGTGCACTTGACGCCCGGTGCCACTTGAGTTTTGGTTTTGGCAGCGCCTCCAAAAGTGTTTCTCTATATTTGCAATCGAGGCAGGTTACAGCCTGACCCGAATCCTTAAGCCAGACCACGGTCACGGGATGCCTCGGCGAACAGGCACGTAGTAACCTACACGCCAGGCTGTGCCAGGAGCTTCTTCCTTTCTTTCTCCTTTTCTGCTGCTCGGTTTATTCCTTTCTTTCCCATGAACCTCGTCTGAAATTTCGCCTCTGGTCGGTCCGCTCCTTTCTCTACACTTCGCGAGAATACTCGATATAAAAAGCGACCAAGTCTAGATATTATATGAGCTAAAGGAGACTTTGAAGCAAATATAGAATAAATATATTAAATGAAAATTCTACATCCGCCAGTATTGTTTCTCCATATTAAAATTTACTCTTTGCCGCTACTTTGAAATATTTTCTCGAGTAAGAAGAACATTATATTCTGTAGCATTGATTATTTCCTATAGTGCTAAATTTTACCTTTGTTAGTTCTACGAAATCTTTTGTCATGAAATAATGATATTTTACAGCAAAGAAAATCTAATCTCATTCGTATTATTCTTCTGTTCTATGCTCTTTCTATCGAAGCGATTGGTTTCTTTTTTTTGTTGTAACATAATATCCTATCGCAATACTTGAAGAGGTCTTCAGTATTCCGAACGCATTTCCAACGCGATGTTGGTAAAGAGTCGCACTTGTTGGTGTCCAGGGACATGGGGACATTGGACGTGGAACACCGAAGAGCCGGTAGAGAAAAGGTAGTAGTGGTAGAGGGCGAGGATCGTACTCGGAGGAACACTGGAAAGCGAAGCGAGTGCGCGGTGGTCAGCCCTGGAGGGTCTCTTGGGAGATTTCTGGACCGCAGTCCTAAATCAGGTTTCATTCCCCTGGCGAGTCTCTGGCACCTCGAACCCTTTCTCTGTCCATCCTTCTCTCTCACTCTCTCTTTCTTTCCCTCTTGTACTTGTTTGCGATATATCGAATAAAGCGTACGAGTGACTCGCTGCAACTGCTTTTTTTTTCTATGTCTGACAATTTTCTTCTACGTGCCGAATAGCGTGAAAGACGAAGAATAATCCAAGCTGAAGAAATACTCAAATACCACGACCTATAGATTGGACGATCAGTCTTCTATCATTTCGGTTCAATTTTTCGAAATGGACCACGAGAACGTTCTTTCTCGCGGATTAGCTTTGATCGTAGTATTATCTCGCGTGTGAATGTGTAAAGTCGAAGGTAATGAGAACATCGCTATAGCGAGGGGATGATCGTTCGGCCGGGAGATCTGTACTAGGCACATGCATTATCACAAACGATATCGCCGCAGCGCAGGCGTGGGTTACACACACTAATACCACACATTCGAAGACACGTGCGCGTAATAAGATAGCGAGAACACGCTCCGATACGAGACATTGCAGGAACGAAGGGAGGTAATTTCTCGTCTTGTGCAAATAACTTCCTCAATCTTCCTCGGTCTTATCGACAGCTTTGCAGGAGGTGGAGCTTAATCCTTCGCGCATTTATAAATTTTCTAGGAATCAGTAATAATTTGCAGCAATATTTTGCGTCTTCTTTTTATCATCACGCAATTACACATGTAAAAATGATACTGATATTTATATAATATGTACTGGAGTGCAAATAAATTAATGACACTAGTTTACAAATTTTAAATAATTTTTAATGCAAAAAAGAAACAATTATTATTAATGTATTTTGGGGTACTGAGTTCGAATCTGCCGCTAGAAAAATTTTATCAGATCGAATTTTTAAATTATAGCATGTCAATTTTAAGATAAAACATTTATTTTTAAGATGTATTTTACGATACAGTATTTCTTTCCGAATAATTGGATGTGCGACATGTAATGCATTTCCACCAGGATTTGATGATAATTGAGAAATGTTATCAGGAGTATTGGGACGGAGCCATGCTAGACGATTACTGTTGGACTCTAATAACATAAATAATCAAAATCATTTTTGTTTTTCATGTAAAAAATAAAAATTAAATTCTAACACTTTTGATTTGTTTTCTACTTTCGATAAAAGAAATATAAAAGTATAAAAAAATAAAAAGTTTTATTATTAGAAACATTTTTTCTTATCTCAAAAATCGGAACTAATGGCAGCATTTGGACTCAGCCTCAAAAATTATCCTAGAAATAAATAATCATCATATGCTCTTGCACTAAAAATCTTGTAAACTAATGTTTTAAGTAAATTAAAAATATTTAATAAATTAAATAAGTTGATAGGAAAAAGAGATAAGAGATGTACATTATAATATAAAAATTAATTAAATTATACCTATGTGATACCTATAAACGGAGATAGCAATTTTCGAAACTCGCGGAACAATCCTTGGCATGCGTGTGTCAAAATGTTTCACGTGTGCTTACAAAGTGCCGTCGTCATACATTCGCGAACACGAACAGGAACCGAGGACCGCCTTTGTACTATTACGGCCGGAACATTACAGAAAGAGATACTCGCGCTTTCTCTGCGCGTCGTTGCTTCGTATGCAACGACGACGACGGCGACCTACGCCGTTACGCCCATAAACATAGATCAAGCTCAACAATAGCCTGCCGGTAAACGTATTGACATTTTATACTTCCCACCAGCCGCTGACTGGTTGCCTCCGCGAACGTCGGTGTGTTACTCAACTGCGATACCAGGACAAACTGCAGGATACGCTGTCCTCGCCGCGATTCTACGCACGACGAGATGCTAATGGACGAGAACGATACGGCGGGTAGATTTATGAATGGTTGTGATCGAAGACGCGTTCGAAATGTCGTTAGTTTTGTTACAGATTTGTGATCGAAGAAGTCGAGATTGGAGAAGGTGAAACAAAACTTGTAACTTCATAATAAAATCAACTGACTCTCGCTTTACTGTTAAATTCATAATGTCAAATTATATTCAATTTGAGTTATTTGTAATTATAGATCGTTACTGCTCCTACTCATTAATTTAATTAAAACAATGAAGTTAAACAATTTAACTTAAGAAAATATATAATTTGACTCAAATTTAGTTTATTATTTAAATGCATAAGTTAATATCGACGTTGTTTACTTTGAAACTACAGAAATGGGTTGATTTACATTTTGTATAAAAGTTAAAAGTAACAAAATATTATTTAACTCAAGGAACTGGGTTACCATTGCTCCTTTGATATTTAACAATGTTCTAAATGATACATATATTTCTATTCAATCTTTTTAAAATTTTTTAGCGTTAAATTTAACAAATATTTTTTAATTTAAAAATCTTGCGAAACATTTTCCTTGTTATATATTTAATATGGTATGTTACATTACTAAACATTTGATTTATCCGTATATATCTAGCTCGCGTAAACTCAATTGAACATTCCATGTTATTATTTTGCATAAATGGAGCTAAATCAGATTGATAACCGATAATCCCTCTCTCGACGCAAGGGAAGATACCTCGTTGAGTGGTTGTTAACCTGATTCTAAACCATATGGCTGATATT